ATGGTCGATTCGGACTCAATGTCCCCAGTCCCCCTCAAAATCCTGTTGATGCTCTGCTGGAGGTGGAAGTTGAAGATCTCGTGGACCAGGGCCTCTGCCAGGTGCTCCCAGCACACCATTGCTATATGTTTAGGCACGCCAGGGCTGTTCAGCATCCTCCCCCACCACCTGATCCAATTCACCAGCAGATGGTGATCAGTTGTAAGCTCAGAACCTCTCGTCACCCGAGTGTCCAGATGGATGCGGCTCTGATGATAAAATTACAAAATCGATCATTTAGAGCTTAGAGTGTGAAATGAAGAGTGTGCACACTCAAACAAACTAAAAAGTATTCATTGGGGCCCTTTAAAGAATTTAGTTATGTTAGCAACAGCTGACGTCAAAGGTCCTTGTAAATGTAATGTATGAGTGTGGATGTGTGTATCTTCTTTGTGGTAGTGATTTGTCCTGAAAGTGGTTGGCTCGCCATCTGTCAAGACCGGAATCTCGTCCTGGTCCTCGGCCTTCCCTGTCCTCTCCAAAAACTGGACCGTTGGTCTGTGTTTCAAAGGTGAACACGTTGGTATCGGAAGTGCAGCAGCTCTCTGGGTGAAAAGTGTGTGGGTAGCCGACGTTACTTCTCTCCTTCATCCAGTCACTGAGCTGTCTAAAAATCAGCCAATCCACTTCAGATTGAGTTTTTCTGGCACCCATTTTTTTGAGGAGACTGGAGAGCTGAGGAGAAAACAAAGGATTGTTTCTGTATTTTTACTCTTTATTTTTACTTTTGATTTAAAAAAGAGAAGCTTACTCAAAGAAATGCTTAAAATCTTGTTTAAAAACTATTTGTGGCCTTGATTTTAGGAGCGTTGGAGTACAGCTACCACGCAGTGGTCACTGGTCTCATTTGCACCAGTGTGAGAATGTTTATGTGGCATGTTAGTTAAAAGTAAATCAATAAGTGACAACTTTTCCAGGTATTTAAGATTTGTGCTATAAATTAGTTGTGTGAGATTATATCAGTCACACATAGATTTAAAACTGAGGCAGAAGACGACCAGTCCCAGTTGAAATCTCCGGTAAGGATAATTTCATTAAAATCTAAAGTAGATCGTTTTTCCACTAAGTGAAATTAAAGCCTCACTACTAGCTGAGGGGCGTCTATAACAGCCCACAATGGTGATAAAATAGCCCTTGAAAAGTTGGAGCTTGAGGGCAAGAAGTTCAAAGTGTTTACAAACAGTTACTGATGACTGGACAGTAACATGGAATTGGTTTTTTACATAAATTGCAACACTGGGCGGTCGCAGTGGAGAAGATTGTAACCCGTTAATGCGATGTGTTTGTCAGTAATTGTTCTTGTGAGCCAGGTTTCAGATAGTTTAACTGTTTCATTGTCATCAATAATAATACTGTCTGTTATCTATATATCTTGCTTTTTCCGCCCCATCTCCTCTCACATCCATTGGATCACATCAATGCATTTATTTTCGAGCTAGCTCTATGTGAGAGGCCTCAGAACACTCTAACCACCTTTGAGTCACAAACAAACAAACAAACACACACACTCGAACAACGATCCACTTATAAACAGGCTCCCTCCAATAAGGTGTGGGGGCAGCCCAGAGCTCCTTGATGCATGATTATGAGTTTTTTCTTGTAATTTTGGGGGTGAGCAATGTGTCGTGAACTAATTTTCCCCCTTTTACGTTGGTTGCTTTTAGGGATAATATGATCTATTGAAGGGAGCAATGAATGATCACTTTCTGCTTACAAGGTTAAGACACAACTTACTTTCAAATGACTTGATGCAAGCGCTGTTTGCCGTAAATGGAGGAAGGAGCAGAAGGGCAAATGCAATTAGTTTCACTACAATTGCTGCAGACGTTTCTCTAGATCAACATGAGGCTGCCGAACAGAGCGATCGACCCGAGTGGGTTGGATCTGGGCAGCTGCCAGAATGATCGGACTGAGAACATGGAAAGTTTGTGACAGAAAATATTCCTATTTTTAATTCATATTTAAAGTAATCATTAATAGCAACTGGTGGAGGGCTTTCGCTTTGGTGGCCTCAGAATCTCATCTCTGATTTTTGCAGGATGATGTGGTTCTGTTGGCTTCATCGGGTGAGGGCCTCCAGCTCGCACTGGAACGGTTCGCAGCCGAGTGTGAAGCAGCGGGAATGAGGATCAGCACCTCCAAATCTGAGGCCATGGTTCTCAGCCGGAAAAGGGTGGAGTGCCCACTCCGGGTCGGGGATGAGTTCCTGCCCCAAGTGGAGGAGTTCAAGTATCTCGGGGTCTTGTTCGCGAGTGATGGGAGAAGGGAGCCGGAGATCGACAGACGGATTGGGGCTGCAGCTGCAGTAATGCAGACGCTGCACCGGTCCGTCGTGGTGAAGAGGGAGCTGAGTGTAAAAGCGAAGCTCTCAATTTACCGGTCGATCTACGTCCCTACCCTCACCTATGGCCACGAGCTGTGGGTAGTGACCGAAAGAACGAGATCGCGGATACAAGCGGCAGAAATGAGCTTCCTCCGAAGGGTGGCTGGCCTCTCCCTTAGAGATAGGGTGAGAAGTTCGGCCATCCGGGAGGGGCTCAGAGTAGAGCAGCTGCTGCTCCACATCGAAAGGAGCCAGCTGAGGTGGTTCGGGCATCTGACAAGGATGCCCCCTGGGCGCCTCCTGGGTGAGGTGTTCCAGGCATGTCCCACCGGGAGGAGGCCCCGGGGCAGACCCAGGACACGCTGGAGAGATTATATCTCTCGGCTGGCCTGGGAACGCCTTGGTATTCCCCCGGATAAGCTGGAGGAGGTGGCTGGGGAGAGGGAGGTCTGGGCCTCTTTGCTTAGGCTGCTGCCCCCGCGACCCGGCCCCGGATAAAGCGGATGAAGATGGATGGATGGATTAATAGCAACTAGTAACTAGCCAATGCAATAGCTTTGGGTAAACTGAGCACAGAATGTCCTTAAATGCCAAAGCGAATTCATATAAAGGCGACTGTACGCAGGCGAGGATCAGAGAATTTCAGAACTTTTAAAGAAAAATCTGAAATTGGATTTTACCTGCAGATTGGTGAGTTCTTGTACAGTTTACAAGACGTGAGGGCATCCCAGGGAGAGAACCGAGCCATGTGTTTACCCATGGCCCTTTATGTAAAATATGTGGAATGAAGACATAATTACAAGATCTGACACACTAGGTGGGTGCAGAGAGTGGTAGCATTGCACACACACACATGTATGCACGTGTTACATCAAAGACCAGATTTAAGTAGAGCTGCACGTGCTCATGCCTCCTGCTATGTTATATTACAGTTAAAGTTAGAAAGAGTTGCTTCAGGCCTACACAAAACCACATTTATTTCAATGTCACTGGTGCATCTGCACAAGCTGGAAGTCTCAACTTCAAAGATTTGTCTCAAGTTTTTGCTTCAACACACGACATTTAATGCCTCAACATTTTGTAAAGTTACTTACAAATAAAGACGTACTTAAATAAAGAAAATGATTTTTCCAGCCTGAACTAACTGCAGTTTTAAGTAATCTGAACCAACAGCTATTAACCTTAGCAGGGTGAGAAATTACATGTCTTAGAAATTCCTTTACTATGGTTGATTGTTCCTGAGTGCTTAGCTCTGGCACTTGGTGTTTGATGAGAAAGTATTTCAGCTGGTAAACACTAAACAGCATGAACAACTAAATGTATGCGTCAGCCTCTCTTTTCCTGGGGTCCCATTTTCAGGTCCATGGTGTGCCTGTTTAAAAACTCAACTGATGCCATTTTTAAAGGTTTCTAAATATAGCACATTCACTGAAGAGGCCTCTTAGTAAATGGATGTTCTTTATTAATGCACTAAATTTGGTAGCAACATCATATAAGCATTTTTAATTGACAATTATGCTGGAAACTGTCAGTGTTAAACAATCTACACAAAGGCAATTTCAGAAATGTCAGGAAACATTCACAACAACGTCACATTTGATGCAGAGTTATGAGGACTAGCATGCATTAACAAAACTACATATAAAGGATCACCATGAGTGGTCTTTGTATTCCTGTTAATACTATATCACAGACTGTAAAATGACAATGATTCACTAATAATAATAATGCAATTTAAAAACACATTTAAAAATACATTCATTCATTTGGGAAGCTGAGATTTAAAACACAAGGGTCGTTATACTGAGATTACACCAAGAAACACTTAATTCGAGGGTTAACAATTAAATTGTTGTTGATGTCAATTTTAATGCATCCATCCTTCCATCTTAGGTATTCTTCATAAGTGCTTCTCCTCTCCGTCACTCCTGTTTCCTGGAGCGCCCCCTGAACGTGTCCATGAGGTTGAAGGCTCCCAGGTACTGGCCCAGAACAATGGCCTGCTTCATGTTCAGTACACTTTGAAGAGAGAAAAAACATAGAAATGAACATACAAAATACATACAAAAAAGTTTTTGACATCTGTGTTAGTTTCCTTTTATGTGCCAATGTCTTAATATGCTATAACAATGCAACTGCACCAGAAACTGCACGGACCAAAGCGATTGTAAGTTTCCACGAACAGTTTCAACATCAACTCTGCAAAACTTTTGTGATCAAGTTTTGCTGAGTAAAAAAGTCCAAATGCAACTGGAGTGGCTATAGCCTAGGAGAGGTCATCAGGGAGGTTGCTGGTTTGAACCCTGACTAATCCAGCATGCCAAAGTATCCTTGGGCAAGACATTGAGCCCCAAGGTGCTCTGTGTGGAATCACTGGATAGTCATATTTTCAGGTGGTTTAAGAAATTTGGCCAGATTTCCAGAAATTTAAGCGGTTCCATCCAAAGTGGAATGGATGCCATCTTTCCTAACAAGAGGTTGGGTTTCCCCCAGAAAGCTTCCGAATTATGTACAAAACCCACATCATTGTTCATCCCTAACAGACTGGTAACAAACTTAATCAACTTCAGCCTCCTACACTCCATCTCCCTCTGGATTAAGGACTTCCTCAGTGACTGCCCACAGAAAGTTGCTGAGGAAGTAGTAGGGCCGCACCTCTCCGCAGCACTCAGTCATTTTCAAACAAAATAAATGAACACTGGAGAGAGTGCCTCCTTTCAATAACCCTGCAATATCTCATTTGTGCTATCAATACAAACCATACATGTTGACACACATGTATGTAAACAGGGTGTATCAAAAAGAGTCAGCCTATTATAAATTAATTAATTAATTTCAGTGCTTTAATTCCACAGCCATTCACAAACCTACTCTATAAAGGGGGATTCAGTACCACATGGTTGCCAGTATGTAGCACAAGAAGTGCATTGTTAGCAGTAAACTCATCCACCTACAACATTTCCAAACATCTCACCACCATCCCAGCCCCCTGGTGGAAAACACACCCCATTAAAACCTCTACAGACCTAAAACCTGGATCACTGGATCCAGATGAAACCAGAGTGTCCTTTAATGAGGCCTACATTTCCACTTGCATATCTTTAACCAAGGCAGTGGAGACTGTCACAACAAGACAACAGCATCCAGCTCCTTACAGAAGAGAACTTTACTCCTGAATACAATAGAACAGAATAGAATAGAATAGAATAGAATAGTCCTTTATTGTCACTGTACATGTACAATGAAATTGTGGGTGCTCCACAGTAACTGTGCTGGAATAAAAATATGAATAGTTGACAGCAGGTATAAATGGCAAACAGGAGAAATATGTACAGTCAGGAGGAATATATATCTAAAAATCAGAGAAAGGGCCACTGTAAAGAACACGTTGCATTAGATTTACATGCTGTTAGACCACATACTTACAACCAGATATTTTAAACACAACAAGGGTATCTACAGATAAGTACAGCTCTTGGCTCTTTCAGACAGAACATAGCCACCTAAAGATATGTGGATGCCACTGCAGTTAAAATCAAAATCTATCAAAACCCAAGAAGTAGAATCTTTCACTGTTCACATCAACTCAGTGGATAGAAACATAAAGTTCACCAGGGGAGACACAAAGGACCATAGTTTGCCATTTATGGACTGTGCTGAGCGCATTGAGGACTCGGGAAGCCTCAACATTTACGTTCACTGGAAGCTCACGCACACAGACCAGCATCTACTCTTTGACTCCCATCATCCTTTGAAACACAAACTTGGAGTAATCAGGACCCTGCAACACCGGGCAAAAGCCCATCCCAATAAGGCAGAAACAGAAAGAAAAGGAGCACATACATGTAAATGAACTCTTTCATCCCAAGGACAGAACTCCCAAACACAAACGAAGCAACATAGTGTATGTACTGGAGAAACCAAACAGCTACTCAATAAACACAGGACACAACTCGACAGGACACGACTCACTGTAAAGATGAGCAAGGCAGCAGAGCAAAGCTAGCCAGGTGGTTCTTAGAAAGTTTATGATCACGTGAGAAGTTCTAAAACAATGAAACTGTACCTCCAGCAACTCTACAAGAGTGCTGCAGCAATCCTTTAAAAATAAACAAACATTCCAAGGACTGATGCCCTCATTAGCGTCATTAGCATTAAGCATAACAATGAATCTAACAAACAGCTCCTAATGGAACAAAATATTTGTTCTAATTTAAATAGGTCATGTCTAATAATTTCATAGAGCCAGAATAATGTTGCTTGCATTTCTCACTGGTAGCGAAATCTGGATGACTAACAACTCCAACAATGACTGTCTTCAAAGAGGGAGCAGAGACAAGGCAGGATAATACAACACATTATTAAAAGCCCGGATACAATGGCTTTTATCTAAAATGAACAGAGGTGACAGGCGAGGCACTATCTGTGAGCTGTATTTGTGTGAGCTGTTTTCCAGAGACAAAAATCTTTCTAATAGAGAATAATAGCCCTGTCCTCAGATAAATGGACTAGAGGAAGAAGAAGAAAAGAATGGCAGACATCTTTTCTTCTTAAACACTCACTCATGAAATACAATTAAAGAACAAAACGATTCAGCAGCAGTGCAGGGGGCTTCAGCTATCTAAGACCTGGCTCTTCCAAATGGTGCATTATTATTTCTATTATCAGTGTTATTGCTAAGGTATTACAGATTTCACTCATTTGGGTAAAGTGATGTGAAGTTTACACAGTGCTCATACAACTAGACTTTTAACTTATGTTGGCAAGCTGAGGGCAGTCAAATACAATGTGACCTTACAGTCCCAGCAAGAATCATTGCAACTTCTGTTAACCTCTTAAGCACCCAAAGATGGGTGCAAGAGGGAGGAGATCGTGGAGATCAGGAAACCACATTAACAGGTTAATGCACTATTATGTATAACTCACGCGCTGACATTTTTGCTCACTTCTGCTGTCTTTATAACCAAAAGGGGTTAACCTCCCTCACTATTCTCGGAGCTTCAGACTTGGGTGTCAAGCAACTCATATTGATGTGGTGATCAGAAGCTGCGGAAAGTGAATAACATGCAGTGACTTTGAGCAACTACGTGTGAAACAACTGTGCTCGAAGGGAAGTGGCAGAACTTCCAGGGGAGCATGCGAAGCCAATGAGAGCAAAGTATGGCATTGATTGACATAAGAGCTGGTGGAAATTTGCTCACCTTCATACAAACTGTACAGAAAATCTGCAATGTTTTAAAGTTCCACCAATGCATTGAAAAGGCAAGTCACATTTTAGACAGACTACGATCTCTCCTCTTTGTTGACTTCTACAGAATTACTGACACAGTAAATGCCACATTCAAAATGTCTATATGATGTTCTGCTATCCCATTTCTGTAACTGAGCAACAGAAAACTGATAGAAAGATTAAGTTTAATTAAGTTTGAGTGCAAGGTTCAATTAGCTGAGAATTATATTTTTGACACATCGAAAAAGGATGAAAACTCCCAGTACAGACTGTTAATTGGCAACTGCAGATATGCTACATCTTCATGTTTTTGGCATAAATTGTAATACACCTCTATATATTAATGTTAGAATTGATTTTATTTAAATAAATACTGTAGAATAAAGACCCTACAATATTAGAAAGAAAATCTGAACAATCTGACAATCCCCCATGAGCAAGCATGTATCGACAGTGGAGAGCAAAAACTCCCTTTTAACAGGAAGAAACCTCCAGCACAACCAGGCTCAGGGAGGGAGCAGCTGAGTTTCAGAAGAAACCTCAAAATCAGTTTCTTCACTCTTTGTCCACTCTATCTTTGCACATTTACACACCAAACTCACATTTAATCATTAGTAATTATTACAATTCATCTAATTTCAATTTCCCCATAATTCTTAGCTAGTACCCTTTTAAAAGGGAGTTTTTTTCCTCCCCATTGATGCCAGGTGCTTGCTCGTAGGACATTGTCTGATTGTTGGTCTTTTCTCTCGATTATTGAGGCAACTGTTTGTTGATTTGGTCCTATTATTTGGTGCTATATAAAAAACTGTAGTGAACCAGATGAACAAACACTAAAATAGGACTGTGGCCTGCATTCGCTTTCATCACTATAACAAGGAGAACCAGGAATATCATTAACATATGTAAATCCATTACACAAATAATGGCTGCAGCTCCTAACTTCATCACCACTCAGTCAGGTTTCATATCAATTCAAGATTACATTTTCAGAATATCACACACTGCTACCAAACACATCCTGTAAATTTGTTATTCTGCCACGCTGCCAGTCTAACCCTTCAAGCTGCCTTAGATTTGTTTCCTCAGATATCTACTATATTTTCCAAAAGCATCCACCCACCTGTATTTTTCATGTCTTGGCTCTTTTCCTTGAATAAGAAGATATTTTACTAAATGTATATAAAGACAACAAAGCAAACATCCTGGGTGCTTTTAGTTGGGAACCTTTATTTGACTTACACTGGTGAAATACAACTTATATAACAAAGTCTCTATTTAAAGAGATGGTAAATGGATAGGTTCCTATATAGGGAAAGCCATGTGTGGTTGTAACACATTGTGCTTAAGCATCTGTAACTCAATGAATTTTTGTACTTTTAAACAAAATATCCTGTTTGTTTACTATGAATGACACCTGCAAGAATACCACAGATCTCATGTGTTAACATTAAAATTACACCAGAGAACATGCTTCAAAAAAGTGGTTTATTGAAAAGAAAGAACAGCGTCCGCCTCTCTCTCTGTGACTGGCCATAACTCAAACACACTCTTGTGGTATCAGTGTGTAAATTAGTTCACTAAACAAACTTTCATGACACTACAAATACTCAAACAGTTAGTACAATGCACCTGTGTGACAAACATATAGGTTTGATTTAAAGTGCAGGCTGGGTGGACATTTTACCCAAACTATCTCCGGCTTTGAGTTAACAAATCCAGACAGACAACGCAAAAGTTTTTGTCATCTGCTGTCTCAGAATCTTCAGCGTTACTTTAAGATTTTTTT